AGCATTAGTGCGGCCGGTGGTATGGATGTGCAGACTTGTTATCTGGTGCGGAAGGTCGTGGGAGCGTGTCTCACGGGGAGATTGTATAAGTGTGACATGTAGTCACTTGATTGATTGGAAATTTAAACCAAGTTTGAAGATTATAGTAATATCGCTAATTTGAGAATTTATGCCTGAAGGGCACTCGGTTTATTAGGATGTGGATTGTGGAGGTTTACTCCGGTTAAGATGGTTGTTCTTATGAGTTATAGGAAAAGGGGTATTTATGGACCCTTGAAAGGTTATTGGCCTAGTACGATGAATCGGCTTGAGTTCCGTGGATGGATTTAAATATGAAGGTGGGCTCTATATCAGGCCGGATGTGTTCATTTCAGCATAGCGCTCCTTATGAAGGAGTATTCGGACGTTGGATGCTATTTCGTCGTCGGCTATTTCTTGTAATGCTATATTGGGCCGTGTGAGTTTTGAAACGACATGATAAATTTCTTATGTGTTGAGGTTCTGCGTAGAGATGGTGTTATGTGAGCAGGATGGCTCTTGTGATTCAGATTATATATCGCACCCCAGTTGTGCTTGAGTTTCTGTAACTTATGGCGCTATTTATCTCCCCAGGGATGGTATTATGCACTTAGCGTGCTTGCAACCGATATGCGGTATTTAGTAGTAAAGAGCAATTTCGTTTGGTGTGTATCTCCTTATGTGACTTCTATGTGTGGATCGGGTGGCACGCCGCCACGGGTATGTTGTTTGGATCGGGTCGCACGCCGCAATAGTGTGATGATGAGTACAGTCTTCTATATTCTAATTTTTGTGTGTTTTGTTTCCTATTTTCTGAGGAAAGTACATATTAGTTACGTGAGTTGAGTAGTCCCTTCCAGAGTTCGTTTCCCTTATGTATCATGTTTGAGCTCGTAGCCTATTGGCACATTGTGGCATCATATGAGACTTCTGGTCATGTCTGGGGTGGCTTATTGCCTAAGCAGTTCGTACTGGGTGAGACTAGATTATTGGATCTAGGTTCAGTACGATCAAATTATATGAAGTATATCGAAGAGCAAATATCATTATTTGGTTCAGAATGAGGTGATGGTTCTTGTCGGGAGTATAGACTCAAGATTTGTTGGCGCGGCAGTTGGTTATGAACTTGTACACATCTCTTCCATCGTGGCGGCATTGAAAAGGGTTAGAACATGATTTATATATGTCATGGGGTGCGTTGGGAGCATCAGATTCGTAGAATTTTGGCTATTGTTATCAGAGGATGTTATTATGGTCATGTGAGTTATGTAGTGCATAGTGTGAATTCAGCAAAGGTATGCAGTCATGTTCTGGTACATCGTGTAGTGATTGATACGGTATTCGTAGGTTAGAAGCAGGCCTGACAGAGAATTTTGGGTGTTGGAACTGGGTTCTAAGCTTATTTGTTTGAATAAAAGAGAATATCTTCAGATTTGATCGATTTAATGTGCTCAACTGAGCTGTGGTAGCACGGGTAGGTGCTCAAGGTGTTGAAAAGTGATCTCGGACAACTCCAGTGCAGTTCTCAGCACGTTCGAGGATGAACGTATGTTTAAGTGTGAGAGAATGTAACGACCCGACCGGTCGTTTTGAGCTCTAGCACATCGTTCGGCAGTTTGAGGCAGCTTCACTTCAGGTATTATGACTTGTACGCATGGTTGGAATTGAATTCTGGGAAGTTCAGAGTTGATTTGGAAAGAGAATTCGCATTTCGAAAGCTTTAAGTTGGAAGAATTGACAAGGATTGGATCTTTGAGTAAACAACCTCGGAATCAAGATTTGAAGGTTCCAACAGTTCGTATGATGATTTTGGGCTTGGGCGTATGTCCGGATCGGGTTTTCGATGACCCGGGAGCGTTTCAATGCCTATTGTGGAAGTTAGCATTTTGGAAGAATTTCATAAATCTGGGTTGAAGCGCATTTCAGTATTATTAATATCCGTTTGGGATTCCGAGTCTGGGAATAGCTCCGTATGGTGATTCTGGTATTGGGAGCGCGATCGGAAGTGGATTCGAAGGTCCGTAGGTCATTTTGGAGTCGTTTGGCTAAAGTTAGAAATTTAAAAGTTTTTGAGAAGTTTGACGGGAAGTGAACTTTTTGATATCGGGGTCGGATTTCGATTCCGGAAGTTGGAGTAGGTCCGTATGTCGAATATGACTTATGTGCAAAATTTGAGGTCAATCGGACGTGATTTGACGGGTTTCGGCATCGAAAGTAGAAATTGAACTTTCAAGTTCTTTAAGTTTGAATTGGAGGTTGATTCGTGATTTTAGCATTGTTTGGTGTGATTGAGGGCTCGACTAAGTTCGTATGGTGTTCTAGGACTTGTTGGTATGTTTGGGTGAGTTCCTGGGGGCCTTGGGTTGATTATGGGTGGTTAACGGATCAAGGTTTGGAGTTGAGGAGCTGCTGAAGTTGGAGGACTGTTGGTGTAATCGCACCTGCAGAGTGGCACCGCAGATGCGAGCCCGCAGAAGCGGAAAAGGACTGGAGCAGGGGGAGTCACAGGAGCAGTCATTTAGGCGCACCTGCGGGCGCGCAGGTGCGAAGGTGAAGGCCGCAGAAGCGGAGAAGGGCGCAGGTGCGAAGAAGACGCCGCAGAAGCGGAGCCGTAGAAGCGGCTAATGGACCGCATATGCGAAAATCGTCTGGGCAGAAGGGTTCTTTTAAAAATTGGGAATCGGCCACTTTTCTCCCATTTTCATTTGGCGTGGGCGATTTTGGAGAGCTTCAAGGGGAGATATTCTTCAAGTATCACAAGGTAAGTTGTTCCCACTCGTTACAAGTTAAATACATGATTAAGATACGGATTAAAGTATGGAAATTTGTGGAAATTTTGGGTTTGAGGAAAAACCTAGAAAATGGGTGTTTTTGGAATTTGACCACGATTTTGGACATGAAATTGAGAGTAAATTATATATTTGAGTTCGTGAGGTTGTGGGCAAACTTTATCTCCAAAAAATTTCGGAATCCAGGCATGTGGTCCCGAGGGCAATTTTGTCAACTTTTTTATCAAGGTTAGAAATTGTTATATATTGGATTATTATGAGTAATTGAGTATAAATTAATGGGTTTGCATAATTATTTATCTAGTTTGGAGCGTTATGTATCGATTTGAGCCTTCGGAAGGGCGTGGAATGTCGGTTATGGAACTTCAGAGCAAGGTAAGTCTCTTTTCTAACCTGGTAAGAGGGAATTGTCCCCATAGGTTAATTAATTGGATATGTGCTTCTATTTGTAGGGGCTACGTACACACGAGGTGACGAGAGTCCGTGCGTAGCTACTAATACGACCTCAGCATGATTTGCGCATGCTTGACTTGCAATTTATAAATGAAGATATTGCCTCCCTGGCTTGAGATAAATGTGTAAATGATAAAAAATGAATTTGGAAATTCCATATTAATAAAAGAATTATTTACTTGCTTTATGTTATTGAGTTACAACTGTTTTTATATAAATCCTCGATTTACTATATTATTGGTATATTGTTGGACCACTAGTAAGTGTCGAAGTCGACCTCTCATCACTACTTCTTCGAGATTAGACAGGATACTTACTGGGTACACGTTATTTTTGTACTCATACTACACTTGTTGTGCATTTTTGTTGCACATGCACATGTATGTCTTGTGGCCTAGTTGGGCGCAGCGGCCTGATTGATATGGAGACTTAGGGAGCTGCACTTTTCGAGACGACCCGCAGCCGGCAGAGTCTCCTTCAGAGTTTCATATTGTATTTTTTCTACTTTCCAATTTGTATTCCGGACGATTGTTGTATTACATTGTTTCCTAGAAATTGCTCATGCACTCGTGACACCGGGTTCTGGGATGACTATGGGATTATTCAATATTTAAGTTGTTAAAGACATCATTATTTATTCAGTGAATTTCATTATTTATTGTTTAATGTATAAAAGAAATAATTTCAATAAATACTAAAATGGGAATTTAATGAACTTCTTGGTGTTTGCTTGCTTGACAGTGATGTCCGGCGCCATCACGACCCTTAGTGGATTTTGGGTCGTGACATCAACCAAGCGAAGTTCTTGCCTTTTTTGAGTAGCGGCGGTTCAAAAATTAAAGTTTATGGGTTCCTACAACAGCCTCAAGTTAATATACAATAATAAATGGGTTCACAGTGAAATATCTATAGATATTTAGTGGATTTTGTAATAAATATACAAAGTCTAGACAAAAGCTACTGGTTCCCGTGAACCCGTATCTCATACTTTGGATCCGCCACTGAATTTAACTACCTTGCACTTTAGAGTCTAGAGGTATGTAATATCTAATATTTTATATAAATTATTCTTTTTGATTCTTGGTGTTTCAGTTAATCTAGTAGCTGATCAGAAGAAGATGTTTTACCTCCACAAAAATAGTGTAAAACTCAATCATATGCACTGTATTCGATCGGCAGGATGTTGATCCATTCGTATTAATGCCTTTACAATAACATGAACTAAGTAAATCGTATTGATGAAATGACACACTTCAAAGTAATTTAATTGTTGATGTGAAGTTTGTCTACTACTTGGAGTACTCTTTTCGATTCATGACTTTTGCTATTGATCACTTGATTATGAACTATATATTGCGCTTGAGAATGTTTGTTTGTACCTATGCAGAATACCGGCTGCATTAGGCAAAAGATATGTGAAGAGGAGTCAGCCATTTGAACTCATGGTGCTAGTTGGTCTGTTTTAGTTATAAGAAATTGCTAAGACTTCAATTTCAGAAATGGTGGAGGAAATATGTTAGAAGATAATGCTATGCAGGTAGGAAATGTTTGGTATTTAAGCTGATTGATGAGAATTTGTTCATATTGGAAGTTAAGTGATGATACTCCTTACTCCAAGTTACACTATTGTCATGCAATTAGAGATATTTTCATTTGATTATTCCTCTAAGTGAATTGCACATATAGAACACATTGATTATGAAAGAGACTAAGTGAATAGTGAAAGCATTGAAATAAATGAGCAGTGTAACCTGAGAGATGTTCTTAAATTCTTTTTGGAAAAAAAGGAGCTAGTCCCCTTTTCGTGATCAACTACAATATTGTTGTTTCAGGAGAAAAACTAGTCTATACCAACAATTCACGCAACATGTTCGGCGTTTTATTAAGAATTCTAGAGACGAGTTAGATAACTTGAATAATAGTTTCATCTAGAATCTCTTCTACACTAGTCCTACAAAAAAATGAGGCTCAATTCACACCTCTTCTGCATGGTTCTCTAACAAAACTGTAGTGCAGATGTGCCTGTAATGAAGTATGATTTGAACTTCCATTCTATGAGGAAGATGAGGTAATAACCATGAAGAGTAACCTGTGATCATATTACACTTCAAGGTGAAGGAGGAGACATATCTTGACTTGGTGGTATTGCCTGTTCTGCACATGATGGAGGTGAAGGTCGAGGTGGTGGAATGTTTGGTGGTGGAGGTGAAGAAGATATTTGAGTTGGTGGGGGTGGAGAAGGTGGCGTCGGAGGCGATGATATGCTTGGTGGAGGTGGAGAGAATGTAGGAGGTGGTGTACAGCTTGGTGGAGGTGGCGGTGGACTAGCATTGCAAGGAGTTGGAGGTGGTGGAGGTGACAATGTTGGAGGTGGGGGAGAATAAATTGGAGGTGATAAAGGTGGTGGAGATGATGGTGGCTCAATAGGTGGCGGTGGAGATGGTGATGGCAGTGGCGGTGATGGTTGTGGTGGAGGTGAACAAGAACAACAATTGGTTGGTGGAGGGGTAGGTAATGGAGGTGGTAATGCACATTTGAAAGTGTTACAATCAACTTTTTTAGACAAAAATCTCTGGCAATCCAATGCAGGTCTTTGCATAGGCCTTCCTCTAAGACAATTCTGTTGATCAGCAAATGCATTCAGATTTAGACAAGCTGGACTCTCTTCATAAAAGTAGTTGTTGTCATAGACAAACTTGTTCAAATTTGGAAGTCTACATATGTTGTCAGATATCTTCCCAGACAACATATTATGACCCAAATTCAACTGCTCCAAGCTCTCCATATTTCCAATACTCTCAGGTAAAGTACCAACAATTTGATTATAACTCAAATCCAACACTGTCAAGTTCTTCAGTATTCCAATCTCATTAGGCAAACATGAATGGAAATTGTTATTTATAAGAAGCAATTCATTCAATGTTTTAGCCATTTTTCCCAAACTAACCGGTATACATCCCTTAAACTTGTTGTTTGCCAAAACCATGACAGAAACAGGCGAATTCCCAAAGTTATCAGGCAACTCAGAAGAAAATCTGTTATTGTTAATAAACAAAGCATCAAAACTCCTTTCAAAAACTTGCCTTGGTAGCTCACCTTCAAACTCATTGAACCTCAAATCAAGAAACCTCAAATTAGGCAATTGGACTACCACATCAGGAAACTTGCCAACGAACCGATTGTTACTAACATCTAACTCAAAAAGGAGCTTCAAATTCAAGAAACTCTCAGGGATAGTACCACAAAACCTATTTGAGTTTATATGAAACAATGCAATATCATATAACAGGCCTAATTCATGTGGAAGAGTACCAGCTATATCGCCATGGTTGATATCGATACCAGCAACAGTGAGTTCAGAGGGTTCATCAAGAGATGGCCAACAGAAAACTCCAGTGTAGTTACACACATTAGATCCTATCCAATTCGCGGTTATATTGTGAGGATCAGAGAGAATGGCTTCTTTCCAAGCTTGTAATGCAATGTATGCATTCTTTAACCTAAAATTCTCAAAATTAAGTGATGGATTGATGGCAAGAATATCACCATTGTAGGATAAGAGCTTTCTACGGTTAGTATATTCGATATTAGGGACCCCCAAATGATCATTACTAGAATTAGATATTTGATAAGTGGTGGATGCATTGAAGAGAATAGGGAAAATGACTAGGTAGAATAATGTGTTTAGGCCAGAACTATGACCTGCAAAATGGTGCATGTTCATTTAAGAAACAAAACTTGTTATATTGAGTCTTGTTTCAGTGAGGAAAAATGAATGAGAATGAAAAAAGAAGTGAAAAAGTTGATCTGGCTTTGCTGTTATTTGATTTGTTGTTTTCTCTTTGAGGTAAGTCTTTCGATATTTAACCCCAAAAAAAGAAAAAGTCTTTGATTTGTTAATTGGATGAGCTTTTTCAGCTTGTTCGTCGTCATCGGACTTCTGTTGAAACAGATTCAATTTATTTCGTCAATATAATTTCATTAAGCGTCCTTAATCTGTTGTATATAATTTATATCCTAATTAATATTAAATTTTATAAATGGAATGATATTTTTAATTGACGATTATCTGACACTGATATATAGAAAACTGAGATAAAGCTATTGAAATATTATAAAGAATATGTGGTTCAAAGTTTTATTATAATTTGTACTCCATGTAATAGGAATAATAACTTAAATGCTTTAATTTGAGAACTCAAAAAATTATACTCCTAGTAATAATTATCGTAAATATGGAAATGTTCAGTTGTTAGAAAAAAAAAAATGAATTTGAACGTAGAAGTGAAGTACAGTACTGTCAATTTGCTAAGAATTAATTTGTCCTTTTTCTGCAAAGTCTTTACTTCCAACCTCCCCCAAAATAAAATAAAAAATAAAAAAGAAAAATGAAAGAAAAAGTCTTGATCGTTTTAGATCAGCTATTTCAACGTCATGATGCACCTATACTTACTGGTTAACAGTGAAAAAACTTGAAAAAGGAAAAAACAGATCCGTGTAATACTGAAATCATCACTAAATGAGTTAAAAATTATCAGCAAGCCTATAGTAACAAATTATCGAGTTTTCAGGAATTTACTAGTATGTTGTTATATTATATATTATCAAGTTGTAATGTTTAATTCTCATCAGATCCTTCTTTTCCTCTTTTATACTCGAGTCATGTCCACCCCAAAAGAATTTATTAAAAATAAAAGGACAAAAATAATGTATGAGGTAAACTCTTTCAAATATATATATATATATATATATATATACCATTGTCTTCCTCTACATCTATCTAGTTGTTGCAGTTATATAACTAAAGAGGCAAGTAAACAGTTTAATTTCTTCATAACTTTTGTATGCATGGGGTTTCAATGTATGTATTTTGCATATTATATTGTTTTGCAGAATAAAAAGGATATAATGTTGTTACTACAATTTATACATATATCATACAAAAGGAATTGAAATTTAGAAGTGAATATTATTATTTACTATTGGTAGCCCGGCCCGGTGCACGAAGCATCCCACGTTCACTCAGGGTCCGAAAAAGACCGCACCCCAAGAAGAGTGTGATGTAGCAGCCTACCCTAATGCAAGTATCAGTATTCTAAAGCTCTATATATTGTCCGGGATATCTTGTGAGGAGATAAATTTGTACACAAGGAGAATTGCTCCAAACATTAGAATGTGCCCTTAAGATTTCCATAGCTTTTTTCTTTAAATATGCTTCACCATGTGCTTGAATTACCATGCAAAGTTTTGACACAGCCCCAACTCTTAACATCTCTATTAGCACTTGTTTTGTAGCTGAAAATTTAGAAATCAATCCAAGAATCTGAATTGCACTATCATCTGTAGCTGGAGATATCCTTAGTATCCTTTTAGAAATCACTGCAATTCCAGCTGCATGTTTCACTAATTCTGCTCTCCCATCAGCCAAACTACACAAATATAACAAAAGACTGAATACTAATTCAGTTACCCTTTTCTCATTGTTGCTTAATTCGAGTTCAATTAGCTCGAAAATAGCCCCCAATTCTATCATTATTAGCCTGTTTCTTCCTCTTGGACATGCATCTATTAGCACATGTAAAGCTGCTTTTGTAGCTTGTTGAGACACCTTATTTTTGCTGTTTTTGTGCAAAATATTCAACATTTCTTGGAAAAATTCGGGTGTTAGACTCGATAATAGATTTGAACTTGATACTGAGATCACATTTTTCAGGACCATAATTGCATGAGTCTTGATTATTACAACTTGATTGTTGTTGTTGTTGTTGATCATTTCACTCTTCAAAATACATAAAATAGCTTCAATTAGATCATGATTTTCCTTGACAAGTTGCTTGTTTTCATGTGTTGGGCTCCAAACAAGATGGAAAATCCTCAAAGCTTCTTCAAGTCCCACAATTAATTTCCCTTCCTTAAAACTCCTCAATATGAAACAAACCATAGCCTTAATTGCACCAGCTTCATTCAAACACTTCTTATTTTTCTCGTTCTCACTGACCATGTTACCCATTTTCCTTAATGCTTCTACATAAGTCTCGCGATTGTTCATCTGGCGAATTAGCCTGATGACATGTGATTTATTCATAGGATATTTAGGCGATGGAATTTGCTCAATCCCATTCTCAGCATTGCCAATGGTCCAGGATCGGATCAATCGCCCGAGCATATGGTTTGGTGTCAACAACTCGATGTCTCTAGGCAAAGGTTGTTTTGTCACTGGACATGTAGCTATATTTTCGTCTGTCATCAATAACCATTGTTCAATACTTTGACGGTCGTAAGTAATTCCAGTGACTGTTGTCACAGGATCTTTCATTATTTGGAGAGATATAGGACACAAGAAATATTGGGGTATCTCTACTTCTTCCATTTTTTTCTATTTGAAAATTAACAAGAAGAATCTAACTATATATAATACAAGAAAAAAAAAATGGAGAGAAATAGAGTTTTTTTTTTCTTTCTAATGAGAGGTGGTAAAAGAAAGCGGCTAATATATGCATGAATTGTTTGAATGGACAAAGCAAAGGAAGATGTACCAGAAAAGAATCAATTTCTAGATATACGTACTTCAATTATTGTTGCTTTTATTTTATTGTCATTTCGTTTGATTTTTTGGTCCAAGTTTGGACTAGAAGGAGTCGGTCAACGCACGAGGAACAATTGAAACATATACTACCACTCCATAGAAAACACTTTTTGCTGACTTTCTAACATTTTGCAATTTCCACATTCCAGACAAACCATAGTGGCAAAGTGGGGCTAAGCGACAAGTAGACGTAGTAATCACAAGGAAAAATTCTTTAGATACAGTCATTCCACAACCCTTCACGAGAGAACAAATATTATATATGTACAAACAATATTTTCTTTACAAAAACTAATATGTAAACTACATCATCAATAATAAGAAAATAATACAAATTAAAGATTAATTTGGGCTCGAAGGTAAAACCTTTCAACAAATAGCTACAATTATAACTCAAACCAATTAAAAGATAATCAGAGGCGGAGCTAGGATTTGAACCTTATGAGTTCGGGATTAAAATTATTCTAAGTTATTGAATTCTAAATTAAGAATTTGTACATATTCATTGGATTTCTTAATACATATACAGAGTTTGAACAAAAGCTACTGGATTCTGTCGAACCCGCAACCAACATTGTGGCTCCACCCCTGATGATAATAAACTGATACAACTTTGCTACTCGGAAACCACAACTATCAAAAATAAGTTAGTGCGCATGTGCTAGAAACAGGTAAAGCAACGTGAGGTCTTTTGTTGAATGCCTTAACAGAGTTGGAAAGTCTGATTCAAAATTGGCTGAACCTGTACTTCACGATATGAGATACTTGCATGCATGCACGGCGACAAAAATACTTTTTCTCATAGACGGCATAACTTCTAGTTTCATGCACTAGATACGGCTTCTTTCCTAATTCTCTTAAACTAATTTAATGTGAAAACTGGGAATTTTGGTACATTGGATAGTCCTTCAAGTTTGCCATACGAGGCAAAACAAGTTTCGGCTACGCTATTTGTTGTTTATAAATGATAATATGTACGTTTCAGTAGGAACTTTATATTTGGTTTTTTACTTAATATTAGAATGCTTCTTTTCAAAGATAAAACTATTTACCTGTAAGTAACATATTATCAATTTTCTAGTCTTCTTTTGCGTATTCTATTAGTTCGAATCTTCTATCAACATTAATAGCTTCGACTCAGATTTTATATTTGTGTTAAAAAATCTATTTAATATCTATAAGTAAAATATTTCCAAACCCAACAAGTTATTTTTTCCTATATTTCATAATTCTCTTAAATTCTACACTTACACAACTCCTATATATGGAGACGCAACTCAAATTTGAGACTCAAACAACCAACCAATTGACCGATCTAGAGTTTGGTCGATTGAAATATGTGAAACATTATTACTCGTCCTTAATATTCGTCATCTTATCAAATTGTCCAATGTGCAAAAAATTCATTCAATGTATGGAGCATTTTTACTATTTCACATAACTTCGTTGCAATAGAATTTTATATATTTTGTACAAATTGAAAAGATTAATTTTAACACTCTCGTTTTTTTCCCCTTTTAATTTCAAAATTTCCTCCTGCGAATGCATGTTATCAATTTATTCACTATTTCCTCCTTTGGATGAATTCAAGAATTTCTGGTGGACGTGAAACCTCTTTTATACATTTTCATATTTTGATTATTAAGGGGTAGATCACTGGCATCTCAACTTATTCTCCCTCTAGTTTTTTTTACTAATAATACTTTAAAGAGAACTTAAAAATTATGAAAATATTTCCCTTTCCCTTTGATAGTTGTTTAACCAAAAAATTGTTAAACCTTTTAGTTAAACTAATTTATAGAGAGATAAAAGGTAAAACTTAGCCAAACATAATTAACTCTGGATCAGAACATATTGAGTACGAAAATTGGAGAAGAGCAAGCTGATATAATATTTCTTAAGATGATTATCATATATCAAATGGAAATGATAAGCTTACATCTATGAAGGGTTTGCATCATGATCGTAAGAGCACAGAAAGAAAAGAGAGAAAGCTGTTGATAACTAAGAGATTCCCCCTTGTTGGTTCCATAGTGATGACTATAAATGTTGTAGCCAGATCTGGCTTCCGAGAGACCCAGTAATGGTCTCCTGCCTCTCCATATATACTAACGATTTTTCCCTTTTATCTAATGGTCTTTGACCGGCGTGCCTTCTCATGGCTGGGTCCTTTATTACTTACCCCAACATTACGCTTGTTCTGCAATGTAAGCTTTCTAACGGCTTGATCTCGACAGGGACCGTGGCACTCGTCGCCATTACGCCTCGTGGGCACGACCGTGGCTGGGTCGATCTCTTACCGTCCCCTTTAATGATAACCATCTGGTGGTCAGATTTTGACCCATACAATTAGTCCCTCCGCCCGTTGGGGTCGTCTTTTTCGCGAGCTCAATGGGCGGACCCTGTGGATTCAAGAATTAGGAGAAATCTGGTCATTATGCGAGGACGGGATCCTCATGGCAAGGTGGCGACGTGATGTTTTAAGGACTTTACCAGACCGTTACGTCAGTCCGGAGATGGATCGTCACGTCGATTCAGAGTGCCATGAATGCCCGTTATGCGTCATTATGACGCATGTTTCCCAGGCACCGTATCGTTTCCTGTGCCCTTTCAGCTTTTTGGCGGCTCTTGGGTTTCCCGCTCAGGGCATTTATGTTCCTATAAATAGGGGAAACCACCATTCGATTGTTACGCTTTTCGATTTACCTGAGGAATTTTGCAAACTTCCACCTTCTCCAGTATTTCACAATCCTTCTTCTGTCAGAATTTGACGTGATCGTCCTCTTTATTTCTTCATCATCTTGTTTACTTCGATCGAACTAGACAAATGGCTAGTACTTCTTCCCAGACTGACAGATTCGTCGAGGCTCCGGCGCCGGAGAATGATGCACCCTTTCTTGGAGAAGGAATGGAGGTGACAGAAGATGAGGGATTTTCGACTGTGGCTGAGATACAACCCCGTTCAGGAAATTATGGACTGACTTTAACAGCCCTGTCGGAGACGAACCGGAACCTGTCCCTTCCACCATGGATGAAGCGGCGATTACAGCGCTCAAGGCTAAGTGGGGAATCCCAAATCATATCGAAATGGTACCGGCGACGGGGACGGACATAGTACATTTGAACCGCCCGGGGTACTGCACGTTTTACGCGTATCCTTTTGTTGTCGGATATACGTTTCCTCTCCCCTCTCTAGTGGTAGACTTCTGCCGCTTCTACGAAGTGTGCCCGGCTCAGCTCTCACCGTACGTATACAAGCTCTTCCTTATGCTCATCAAGTATGCGGAGCTCGCCGGTCGAGGGATTACTTTAGGGAACATGCTTCATATTTTTGCTCCTCAATTTCTTCGGGGCACGATGATCCACATGCCCCATCGAGGAACCAAGAGTTTGATGGTAAAGATGGATGATAAGGCTAATCGCCGATTCTGGGAAAGCTATTTTTATGTGCGGACAGAGCACCTTGTAGTGGACTCGACAGGGTTCCCTGAGACGTGGAACTTTGCTCGTAAGTTTTCCTTTGCTTATTTTGCGATTCCTCTTAAGGTGGTCGTTGATCGTTCTTCTCTATGTGATATTGCTAAGGACTTATTTTCGTTTTTGCAGCCGAGAGATTACCTCCCCCTCCAGTTGACAACATCCATGAGTGGGTGAACGCAATTCTTCCCCATACAATGGGTATTCGTGAGTGGGCGTCCTTCCACGAAAAATATGGGCGTAAGCCTCTCACTGGTGAGTCGGCCTTCTACAGTTTTTTTTCTTTTTCCTCTTGTCGTTATACAATCATCTTTCTTTGTTGGCAGGGAGAGCGCGAAGGACGAGGGCTCCTCCGCTCGCATTCCGTCAACCGGCGCCCCCTGCCCGTCCTGTGCCGAGGGCCGCTATCCGGCCTACATTGAGAGCCACTACCTAATCTGCACCTGCGGCCGAAGCCATGTGCTCGGGGGCTATTCCTCAACTTGAGACTCTGATTTCTACCGTTCGCTCAACGGGCGAGTCTTCCCATGCTGGTAGTGGAGAGGCCCCGTCGAAGAGACGACAGGTGGTGTTGGAAGTGATTCCTTATGCTGAAATATCTTCGAGGGGCGACCTTCCCTTGGCGGTGTCCGAAATTGACGGTGGTGCTAACCCGGCCGCAGAGGCTACGCCCGTTGTGAGCGGTCAACAGACTGACGTGGCGGAGAGACAGAGTCCCGAGACTGGTGTTGCTATCTTGGGCAGTCCTTCGTCATCCCCACCGAACCGCGCTTCTTCTTCGGCCGAAGAGAGGGGAAAATGCATCGCGGTTGATAATTACGAGTCTGAATCCGACCTCGATCCTGACAATGTTAGGATATTCGAGGAGGGATTTACCCAAACTGTGGTAAGGGCGGGAGGTCCTTCCCGAATACCCGAAATTCCATCAAACCTCAATCTTCTGCAAGACACGGTGGATTTTGTGCCGCAGTTTGACCTTCGATGCTAAGCCACAGAAAGCGGAGCTCTTCAAGGCGTCAGCGACGCCGAATTGTCACGTGGCGTGGCCGCAATGGGCCTAAGGGTAAGTTTCTCTTCCTTGTTTGTCCCCCCCCCCCTTTTTTGTATGTCCTTGGCCTTTATCGACTCTTTTCTTTGCTTTCAGTCTTACATACCGGAGATCGAGAGTGCTCGCAGGGCCGAGACTCTGGCCAAGATTTTTCTGATGATGCTTGAAAAGTATCAGCGATATCACAACAAATGTCGTGAGATGCATGAACGGCTCAAGGCGGGTACTGGCACCCAATCCCTCGGGGAGGAGTTGGAGAAAAGGGATCAGGAGCTGATGCAGTCCATTCGCAGATGTAGTGAGCTTGAGGAGCTGCTCCGTACCAAGGACAAAGAGCTTGAGTTAGGAAAGGGGTCGCTGCAGAGTGCGAGCATCTTCCGGCGAAGGTGCTATTGTTGC